AAACAGAGCGATGGCGTTTGCCAATCTGATGAACAACTACTTCAACCCCGACTCGGTGTACACAGAAGAGGATTTCAGACGTCGCTTCCGGATGAGGCATCATGTCTTCGAGCGTTTACTTCGTGATGTCTAGCAGGTCAATCCATACTTTCGACAGAAGCGGGACAGAGCAGGCCGCCCTGGTTTCTCACCTCATCAGAAGGTTACTGTTGCACTCCGAATGATGGCATATGGCTCCTCAGCTGATTCGATGGATGAAACCCATGGTATGTCTGAGTCTACATGCCTTGATACTCTTGAAGAATTTTGTAACACAATTGTTCAGGTTTACAAAGACGAGTACCTCCGAGAGCCAAATCAAGAAGATCTGAATCGGCTCCTTCACAAAGCTGAAGACCGTGGGTTTCCGGGCATGATAGGGTCATTAGACTGCATGCATTGGGAGTGGAAGAACTGTCCCACTGGATGGCAAGGAAGCTTTAGCGGAAGGTCGAGAAAGCCAACTGTTGTGTTAAAGGCAGTTGCCTCATATGACACATGGATCTGGCATGCTTTCTTTGGAGTCCCTGGATCCCAAAATGACATTACAGTTCTTGGGCGTTCACCCCTCTTCAATAACTTGACGGAAGGTAAAGCACCTCAACTTGACTACTACATCAACGGCCGTGAATACAATATGGGGTATTACTTGGCAGATGGCATCTACCCAAAGTGGGCAACACTTGTCCAAGCAATTCCAAACCCTAGGAATGATGCAGAAAAGTTGTTTACCTTACACCAAGAGGCATACCGGAAAGATGTTGAGAGAGCTTTTGGTATTCTACAAGCACGGTGGAAGATTATCAGCGAATCGGCAAGAGGGTGGAGTCGAGAAAATTTGAACTCCATCATGATGTCTTGCATCATATTACACAATATGATAGTGGAGGATGAGCGAGATGGGTATATTGATGGAGAGTCCGATGATGACCAAGAAGATCCAAATAGGTCAAGAAGGGCTCTAGCAAAAATATATGATGGGCCTAATTTGCCTTTCAATCCAAGAACTGGTAGTATCTCTATAAATGAGTATATGAGGCGCTATAGAATGATACGTTCTCGTGCCACAAATACGTACCTACAACAGGATCTTGTTGCACATCTTTGGGCCAAAAGAAGCATGGAGTAGGCTTTTAAGTTTTATGTTGTTAAATGTTTTTAAAAATGTTGTTTAAGTTTCATGTTGTTAAATGTTTTTTTATGTTGTATAATTTGTATGTTGGTTAATGTTATTTAATGTTATTTCATATTGTTTAATGTTGTTTCATGTTACTTAATTTAATTTAATGTTGTATAAATGGCCTAGGAAAAAAATAGAATTGAAAAAAATTATGAAACAAATTTTGTGAAATAGAAGTTATAGGAAATAAAATATGAATCAAATTTTGTAAAATAGAAGTTATAGGAAAAAAATAGAATTTAAAAAAAAATTGAAACAAATTTTGTAAAATAGAATTGAAAAAAAATATGAAACAAAATTTGATTAATATGAAAAGGAAAAAAAAAGGGAAAATAAAAAGTTTAAAAAAAAAAAAAAAAGGCCTAATAATACAACGGCTACTAGCCGTTGTATTAAAAAACATTCAAACTATTAGTGTCGGTTATAACCGACACTAATAGTAGAACTATTAAAAAAAAATTAAAACCTGTTTAATGCTGTCGGTTTTAACCGACAGCAATAGAAAACATTAAAAAAAAAAATAAGCCAGCCCTCCAGCCCTCTCCGATCCCGTGGGGCCCTCCCAGATTCCAGAGCCCTCTGGCCTAGCCCTCGGTTGGAGACGGTTTTAGGGCTATTTTCGGCCCTCTGGCCCTCTGGACCCTTCGGTTGGAGATGGCCTAAACCTCCTCCTACTGCTTTGACCTCCCAGGCCCTCGACCCAGCACAACCGACCGCAGAAGTTGACTCTAATGACTTTTTAGTGTAGTTTTTTTTTTAATTAAACATTCATACATTTAAAAATGTTCCCCACTTGTACATACATTTTTCATATTTACTTTAAATTAATATTCTTCTTTATCAATTATTGTTCTTAATTAAATTTAACCACACAAAATTATTTTGTTTTGAAATTCAGATTATAAACAATATAAAAAATAATAATGGTTTGCGCGACGTAGTAATTCGTCGTTGCGACGAAGGATCTCTTCGTCGCTCTGTTCTTGCGGCACGAAACCCCTTGTCCCTTTAATCTATATGCGACCAATCCTGTTTCGTCGCGAATATAGATATATGACAATTAATCTTCGTCCCTATTCGTTTTACGCGACGACCTCGTTCTTCATCGCGTAATAAACCTTTGTCCCTTAAAATGGTATGCATCGAAGAATCTCTTCATCGTTTCCGCCTTGTGCCACGAAACCCTTTGTCCCTCTAATCTTCATGTGACGAGTTTAGTTTCATCGCGCCCATAGGTATATGCGACGAATTGTCTTCGGCCTTATTAATTTAAAGCAGCGACGTAGTTTTTCATCGTGTATAGAGTTTGAACGATGAAGTGTTTTCTTTTCATTGCGCAATACCTTTCTTTACGAGCCTTGAGCGATCAACTTGGGGCGACGAAGTTTTCGTTGTTTATAATTTTAGGTGGCGAATTTCTTATTTACACGACGATTTATTGTTCGTCGCAATAACTGTTTTATGTAGTAGTGCACGGCCTTCTATTGATTTTAGAGGCAAAGTAAGCCCTAATTAATTTAACATATTTTTAACTGGGGCTTAACGGATAAGACGTTTTCAATAGGTTGGGTACTTTTTTGGAATGTTTAAAAATGTTGAGACCAATTTGGATGACACTAAAAAGTTGGAGAGTTTTAGGTACTCAATCCTTAAATTTATTATGAATTTATATAACGTATAATTATTACTTTGCAATTAGTCATGTTTTATTCTAATATTTTTTAGATCAAAGTTTGCAAATATCCTATTTGGGTTGAATTGTTTTCTAAAGATAAGAAGGCCCTTGTAAGGCTGGAAGGCGAATCGTTAGAAATTAAAGAGCATGCCACCTCACTCTCGAAAGAAAATAAACCTTATGAATCAAGATGGCATGATATGGAGAGAATAATGCACAATAGACCATAGATAAAATCCCTGGTTCCGTCACCAATATGACAAGAGCCATCGATGCAGATCAAAGTCAAATTGACATAAGAAGGAAAATCTATAGATATAGCATGGTTGACAACTCAAACTTAATTGCCTACATCGAGAGCACAAAACTTGCCTATAAAGTGAGACTACATAACATAAACAAGTCAACTTGAGTTTTAATTTGGACTTATTACAAGGATAAAACAAGAAGCCTAGTCCTAACTCCTTAGGGCTGATATGGTGGTTTGGGGTTGCTTAAATTTTTTTCCAAGCAGCTTCTTAAAAAAGTTGGGACACTAATTGCGTTTCGTAAATTAATGAAAAATGTATCCTTCAAAACCATGGATCCAAAATAACAGAAAGTAGAAGCAGCTCAAGTCATACTTCTCAACCATTTGGTGAAACTTCCATATTTGCAATCCTACTCCCGTCTAATATTGCGTTGTTCACAACTATCGTGCAGTTCCAACTCTCCAGCTCTCTCTCATCGTTCCTAACTCTCCCTCTGAGCTCGTTCTCTCCCTCTCATCTTGTTCAAACACACTTCACCAACGAAAGGGTTAATTTCCTTCTCTCCCAACCATTATCTTTGTGTATTTCGACATTTTTTTTGTTGCAAGATTGAAGGATTGAACTGGATAATTGGAAGATTGACCTAATTGAATATACCCCATTTATTTTTATGGGAACTTTAACGAAAAATTCCGGATACTGTTCACTTTAACGAAAAATCACATTTTTACACTAAAAAGTCAATCATGGTACTATTCACTTTTCCCTTTATTTTGTCATTTTCGTTAAAATTCAAAGTTTTCAAGTTATTTTCATTAGTTTTCCTTATTTTTATTTTACTTTGTCTGAAATTCGTAGGCTGGGATAGTAGCTTTGGGGTTGTAATTTGGGATCCAGATCCTCTCTGGATCTAAGGATCCTGAGCCTAGGGATCAATTGATCCGGCCCGTTGAAATTTGGTTCAACGGCTACAAACAAGGAGTCATACTAAAAGTTCTAATCATTATAACCGTTAGATCAAATTTCAACGGACCGGATCAATTGATCCTTAGGCTCAGGATCCTTAGATCCGGAGAGGATCTGGATCCTGTAATTTGGTCTTAGGAGTTTGGCTGGATTCCAGGGTCCTTTGAAATTCGTAGGCTCAATAGCAGATTTGGGATTGGTTGAAAATAGTGTATTCTTTTTCTCCGCCACAATTAAATGTGGACCACGATTAGCTCCTTGTTTATGTTTTGGTAGTATTGTTTCTCCGAATGATATTTAAGCATAACGTTATTTCTGGAGGTTATGTTCATAACTTTTTCTTTCATCCATACACTCTATAACATTAAATCTTTGCTTAGTTATATGTCAATACTCTCGGTTGTTTCTCAGTCTCACTATTTCCAAAACTTTTGGAAAAGTTTTAGCCATGGATCATAACTAACTTGATTGTGGTCTGATAATTAAGTTCACAACTCAAATGCACATTAAGATCCATTAAGACTCATTTAGTTTGATTTTACCTTAAATCATCATCACTACTACCAATCTCACATTTATATTATGGTAATATTAAATTAAATAGGTCTTAACGAGTACACATTAACAACCCATGAGTTAATTTGCCACCTCTACTTTTAGGTTATATCAATTTTTTTTTTATGAACTATACTATAAGTTTAACACGCATACAAAGTTTTGAATATATAGTACCACACCCAACATTGTTCTGCAACACGTTAAGCCCCTAAAAATTTTCTCATGAGGGTGAGAACTAGAATTCATTATCAAACGGAAGCACAAAAAAATAATATATATTCAGAAAAAGAAGATCCAGTTGAATATTAAGATATCATCTGAAACACATATATGAAGCAAAATAATGACGATAATGAAGGAAAATTATATCCCCTTAATTCCTAGGGTTCCTATATTCTTAACAATTTAACAATATCAAAGTTTCACCTTTAATTTGCGATTAAAACAATAATTATCTGCTTAAAGCCAGCAATTAATAATCATTATATGAAAAAATGCGTACATATGATGAGACAAAGTCAAATATGCAGTCATATATTGATCTTCATTTCGATATTTCCTTCTGAAGTGATTATTTATGGCTCCTCTTCCATTGTTGCTTTACGGAAGCCCTCCTTGTGCTGCAGTCCAAATCCCTTGGCTTCCGATCTCTTCATGATCCTCAGCCTCTTGCATGACTCAACAAACATCCTGCAATTAAATGCCAAGCATAATTAATCAGATTATGAATTACAAGTTTGATATAGCTAGTTAAAGGGTCCGGCTACAATGGTGCATACACTACTAAAAATGAGGGTTAATAGCGAGGGTTGCCTTGGCCACAGATTCTCTTGTGAGCTGTGGCTTTATGCAAGGTTTCAAAAGGCGTTAGGTGAAGTGCCTAGGCGTCTAGGCGGTGGCTTAGGCGGTTTTTTTAATTTTAATTAAATTTATTATGTAGTATATAAATAAATATTAGGATAAATCAATTGTAAAATAAATTGATATATAAATTATAAAGTATTAGGCATATCGAAAACATGGGTAACAAGCATGTTAGTCAACACTTAAATAATAAATCAATCATTACTTTTTATGTCATTTAGTTTACAAAATATAATCTATACGTCAACTTCTATGTTTATTTGAGAGTTTGTATGAAAAGTTTTCAACGAATTGGTGATTGTAATTGACTCGCCGCCTACGGTCTCTTGCTCGTGCATGACACGCTAGAGGTATTTATTCCAGACGTGACTAAATTTTCTCTTAAATTTTGTTTTTATTCTCTATTGGGTCAAAAAGATGACGGTTGAGAGACTGGTACTAATTTTGTGTGTTTTGTGGTGTCCTAGAGCGATTTGTCATGATTTTGGCAACGAAGAGGCAATGGTAAATGATTTGGGATTTTTTTTTGTTTCATTGGGATGTCTAATTTCTTTTGGAAATATGGTTTTCGAGTCTGATTATTTCCGTTTCCGTTATTCTTCAGGTTTGAGATGATGAGGGTAGTGAAAAGGGAAGTGAGAGTCAATCTTTAGCATACGAAAGCAGGTCTGGCAATTGGACTTGGTTGGATCAAGGATTTCATTTTTGTTTTTGGTCGGAACGAAGGACTTGCCTATATATAAAAGTTTCAACTAAAATGGTGAAACATTCAAAATACAATATTGTCTTTTTGAAAAATTTAAAAAATATTATTAGATTAAAAAGAGTTTAATTCAACACATTTTAAATTTGGAATGAAATTAAAATTTGAAACTTTAGAAAGAAAAAAATAACAAAAACAAAGACCCCAGTTATGGGCGTTGAGACTTGATTAGGAAGAAAAAAAGTTAGTGGGTGTTGAGTTTCGTTTTCCTTTTTAATAATTTTTTGATAAAATATATATAAATAAAAAAAATCTCATTTTCTAAATCATTTTTTTAGTAAAATTCATGGGAAACGATCCTATTCGGATTCCAGATCCTTTCAACCAAGTCCACCAAGGCACACAATCCGAGCCTTTGTAATTTGATCCAACAGCTACAAACAAGGACTCACTTTAAAAGTTATAATAATTATAGTCATTGAATCAAATTTCAAAATTCTGGATTGTGTGCCTTGGTGGACTTGGTGGAAATGATCCGGAGATGATCCTTTCCCAAAATTCATAAATAAAAACTTAATTAACAAGGGGTGTGATATCCACACACTCCATTTTACTTCTCACACACTTTTTTAATTTTCGACCGTCGGATCGGATGAATTGAAGAAGATCAACGGACATAAATTATTAAGGATGTGTGAGAAGTAAAATGGGGTGTGTGGATAGCACATCCCATTAACAATTGCCTAGTTTCTTATGATTGGAAGATGGTATTGTGAAGGACATTTAAAAAAAAATTACCTAAAGATATATTAGATTCATATATACAATATCTAACGGTTAATTTTTAAGCCACTTTCATATATACCATAAAGAAAAATTAATAATTAAAATCAAGCACGCGGGTCCTAATAAGAAGAAGATATTTTTTTTACGTTTTGATTTCAACTTGGGAATATGTTGTACAAAATTTTGCCTTGTGAAATACATTTCACTTCTACGTCCTCTCCAAAATAATGTATTGCCATGACTAGGCCGTACGACCTCAAAGGACAATTTGGTATTATTCTTCCCAACATCATCATAAGAAATGCTTATGTCGGTAGTATGACTATGTGGTTCAAAATATAAGAAATTCGAATAATGTGAGAAATCATGGAAAGACGCATATAATTCTGTCCCTAATCTTTACAAGGATGAAAAATTAATAGCATGCATGCCTAATTAGTGCCGGTTTTATGGACCAATTAGTGTTAACCCTATACACTTTACGACTAATACTTGGCAACCAATGTTGACCCTTTGCAATTTGATTCTAAACTTATCACGCACTTAGCAAAGAACAAGTCCAGTTGTATTCCAAGATCAACTTTTATTTATGTACTACTTAATGACACTTATTTTTCTGATGTGAAATTCACACTTAACAAAATTTTACATGAAAATATAGTTAGTGTAATAGATTTACTTAGAGAGTCTAATGGGCTCTTCAAATGAGCTCCTAGCTTAATTTTAGAGAGAATTTGGAAAAAGTCATCTCCAATCACACTCACTATTCAATTAATTGTATTATTACGCTTAATGTACCGAGTGTTCCTGCCACACTGAAAACCTTTTCCTAACCTAAAGTATCAAGTCATGCTTCCGGCACACTGAAGAATTTTTGTAGGGAGCTCCTAAAGTAACTTCGTAGTCTTTTTGGTTAAAATTTAACTAAATATAGAGAGCATGATTGAAGATGCTATTATCTTTGTAAGCATTGGCTCAATTCAGTCGTCTTATAAGCTCAATTGGATCATGGAAATTTGTATACCCTCCATTAAAAATTATATAGAAAACTCTTCTAATCTTTGTATATGTCTGAATTTAGATTACACAATTTTGCAGTTCTAATCCTCAATTAATTACAGGTCAACTTAAGTAACCCAGGTCTTGGTGCTGCATGAGGCATGGTACTTAAAGAGAGAACTGGATACAATTTCATGTTCAATTTCATTAAGCAAGATTTTACATTTTTAATATTTAAAAAAAAAACAAGAATTCCTAATAATCCTGCAATTATTGTATTAAGTTCTCAATAACTGTAGCGCACACTTGTAAACTGTAATTCATAAGTATAAAAAATAGAAATTATAATTCATGTCATGTCATGTGTTGGGATTTTGGTTTTAAAAAACTTACTCCCAAGGAACATCTCCCACTAGCATCCAGTCTCCATCTTTGTCTTCATAAATGGGTGCAAATTCACAGTTGTCTGCATTCTTCAACACCTCGCCTGTTATATATATGTGGACAAACTTTTAAGAACATTTCTTTCAATTTTACTTTACATTTGCAGTTTGTAATTCAAGTGGTAATTTCGGAATATGCATAGATAAAGGTTTGATTAAAAAAGTACCATTTCCTTCCAAGTGTTAGTTGTTGTACTTACATAAAAATATATAAAGAAAAGATATAACCACAACGTACTCACCGATGCCATAATAACCAAATAACTTCTCCAACGCCAGAGCAAGATCTGCATACTCGTTGTGCATGCTCAAGTCAATTTTACGAAGAAAAGGTGCTCCATCCATGCTAACTTTGACATACATTTTTGTCGTCTCATTCAAGCTATTAATCTTCATTCTGTATGAACACACTGGAGGCCACCCCACAACCTCATTCTTTGTCTGACCATTTTTCGGGTAGTCACCAGCTGTGGTACTATACCTGCCATCTCCACCGTCAATCTTTGAAAACGCCCTTTTCTTCTCGTTTTTGTCCACTAAACTTGGACCACTACATAATCCCAACCTCAGCTCTGTAATTTCAAGCCCTAAACCTTCTTTGGCCATTTGGGTTTTGAGGGTTTTGAGAAATTCGAATGTGTTATTTTGCTTTTCTGGATCAATTGGACTGGTGAGAAATGGTTTTTTTTTATACAGTTTTAAATGAATAAAGGCGAGTTCTTATACATGGTGTGAACTATAGAAATACAGGACATGGTGGGAGCAATGACAGGCCAACTGTGGCTTAGTTGGTCGGTCACATGAGAGGCAAAAGTGGGGACTATGTGCTTCCCTACATGCACTAATAAAGGCCGGCACCATAAGTTGGATATGGGACAGATCTTAAGGCTATTGGTGCTTTGAGATTTGGTGGGATCTGATCTTCACCGTCTGATCTGCTCGCTTGGAACAGGTCATGTGACTTTCTTAAGTGTGGTCGTGCTTTGCCTAATTCTATCTCTTTTTTTTTTTGGGGTTTTATTATAACAAGAGTTGGGATGTAACGTTGCATCATGGAAGATGGGATAATGTTTTTGCAACATACATGTATGGTCATCCCATTCGTCATGCATGCATAAGTATGAATCATGATGCAGAACTAGGGTTATTACGCACCTATCTGTGAACTCGTAGATTGGTATGCATGAACGATGAATAAAATTTGCTGAAAATATGACTTTAGCCCTTAAAATTTAATTTTCTCTACATAAAATCCGACATAAGTTTTTTTCTTGAATAAAACTCATTGACTAGATTCCACATCAACAAATTCATTAATTATGTTTGACTTCACATATTAAAAAAAAATTGGATGCCTAAAATACCCCTATTTGAATTTTTTTTTAAACCCTACTTAAATGTTTGATGTACATAATTAATGTCATGCGGATGGATGGTAAGGGAGAATTAATGATTTTACCAAAAAAAAAAAACATTAATGTTATAAATTCATTGCCTAATATATAAAAACATAAAACATGTCTAATATATGTTATTATACATGCTTAATTAAGTCAATAAAATTATATTTTACATATTAATGTAGGTAAATTATTTCACACACACACACACACACACACACACACACATATATATATATGCCTGATATATGTAAAATTCATGCAAAATAATTTACCTACAAAAAAAAACATTTGATTCAAATAGTGCACCTACTATTAAAATTTTAAAATGTTAGATTGCTGAAAAAAAAAAAAAATAATAGACCCAGTATATGTAAAATACATGAAAAATAATTTACCTACATAATAACAAACCCATATATACAAAATACATGCAAACTAATTTACCTTATAAATTCATTGTTTAAGTTTTAAAAGAAACAATGTTTCTACTAGTTTTTTTTTTCTTCCAAAAATAAAGTACCTATTATTTAATTTTTATGAAAATTGTGTACCTATTGTGTAATTTAAAAAAAAATTACATATTGGTTTTTTATTATGAAAATAATGTAACTATTGTTTAGTTTTTACAAGAAACAATGCATCTACTAGTTTATTTTTACCTATTTTTGTTTTAATTTTCACAAGTTAATGTATCTACTTTTTCAATAGAATATATATTGAACTAATTAGATTTGGATTAGGCGATTTCACATAAAAGAAGAAAAGAACTTCTTCTCTTCTTTTTTTTTTTTTTAAATTAACAGCAAAAAAAACTTAAACTAATTGAATGTTGTTGACAAACAAAAGACAATAAATTAAAAGTCTACAAAAAAAAATAACCGTAATAGCCATATTAATGTTGGTGGCATGGTGTTGTAAATAAAATTAAATGTATGGATATCTTTTATCTTACCTGGCATTAAATTCAAAATTTGGGTTTTATTTAGATGTTTTAATATAGGTGGGTTTATATTTAGAGTTCAACAATTCTAAGGGGCTAAATCTAAAGCACCCTAAAATTTGTTTGTCCATGCATTGGCCATTAGGATGGCATGATGGTACATGCATATGTCTATAGTTGTGGAAGGAGTAACCTTACTAGTAACAAGAGTGAAGCAAAAAATAATCAAGAAAATTATGGAGGTGACACATGGACTTTTGGGTGAAAAGGACAAAATTACCTTCGAGGCACATCGGGTTCTCATGCGCATACAACGAAAAATAACGGCTTAATCAAGGAAGAGTCAAAGGTGATCAAAATGGTATTTATTCAAAACCCTCTCATCACTTCTCATCAAATCCTTATTCAAAAGGTAACTCCCAATTTTCCTATTTAATTTAGGATTAATTGCCATGTTAATTGCAAGATATTATTCACATAATATCTTGTAATTATTCACACAATGTCACCATATATGGCCGGCCACTCCCCTATAAATAGCCTTGTTATCCCGAGTAATGTTATTCATACCATGTTTTTATATCACATTTCTATACCACCTTAGGTGGCATCTGATGTGAACAGCCACATTATTTGAAAATTTTGCAAAACCCAAGCAAAGGAATAAAAAAGATTTCTCGTATACCACAATCATCATTTTATTAACTAGTTTTTCGTAATTATTAGTTTATTAAATAATGAACTAAATTTAAAAATCTGATTAATTCAAATCATGTGGCTGTCCACATCAAATGTCACCTAAGGTGATATGAAAATGTGGTACAAAAACATGGTATGAATAGCATTACTCCCATTAAAAAGCTAAGTCATTTGCTACCCACAAACTCCAAAACAAATTCTTTTCAAAATTCTAACTTTGGCATTGGAGATTCTTCGACCAAAGCCTCCCCATTCATCGTGGCCGCAAGAGGCTTTTGGCCTTAATCTTAGGTGTTATTATTAAAACTTACTTGAAGATTTTTTGGTCAAAGAAAAAGACGGCAGAAATTTACATCCACAACAAAAGTGAAATTCGAGCTAATTTTTTTATTGCCTCGCTATTGCCGGCAGACACAGCTTATAAACGGTGCCTTGTTCATATGTGTTGTACCAGGATCCTCTCCTGAGCAGATTGAGAGGATCCTCCTGACCAGGCCCATCGGGCCGTTCATTTTTTATCCAACGGCTACAAATAGGGGGCCCCTCTAAAAGTTATAATAATTATAGCCGTTGGATAAAAATGAACGGCCCAATGGGCCTAGTCAGGAGGATCCTCTCCATCTGCTCAGGAGAGGATCCTGGTCCGTAATTATTTGTGTGTTTGGGTTGCTTTTTGTTAGTTTCCACTTAGCTGACTGCAACCCCATCACTTTGCATTTGTAGATGCATGCCAATGCTTAGCTTTGCCAGTAAGAGACTATTTGGAGGTGGGGCGGGTTGGGGGTTGGTGAAGCCTATATCCTAGAGACACTCTTATATAATTAACCTACGTACGTGGTTAGACTGAGCTAAACACATAAATCAGTTATACTATGATAGTGTGCTTGGTCCAGAGCCGGCTTTTAAGGGGTGTGACCGGTTCCACTGTACAGGGCCCCAAATTTTAGGGGCCCCCAAAAATAATTTTTTATTGAATATAATAATATATAAAGTAATATTATATAAAAATAATACATAAAAATATTAATCAAATAAAAAAATATATATATAAAAATCTGATGGGGCCAAAAGCCATCAGATACGTGCCCCCCAATAATAATTTTTTACTGAATATAATAATATACAAAATAATATTATATAAAAATACTAATCCAATCAAGAAATATGTATATAAAAATCTGATGGCTGATTCCCAACAGTGCTGTTGAGTCCCATCACTGCTGCTTCCTAGTTTTCTTTTCTCACGCCCAAATCCCATCGCTACTCCCACTTTTCTTCTTTCAGAATTCACACCACAGTTCCAGACTCCAGTGTCAAATTCCCATCACTGCCGCTGCAGTCTACTTTACTTCTCTCTTCCTATTGTTCTTTTTTCCCACAAATTAGTAAACCCTAATTTATAAGTTCATGAAATTGAAGAGAAATTTCCGAATATGAAGACAATTCAACTGATCAGAATGATGTAGACTTCGATTAAAGTAAGATATTTACTAATTCAAGTATATTGACTTGGAATTTGAAGATTTGGGTATTTCTCATTTATAATAATTTTTTTTCTTTTGTACTTTTCAGGGCAAAATCAAGAGGAGAGCAGTCACAAAAAATCACTAGACGCACACGTATTGCGAACTATCAGGTTTCATTGTTTATACTTACTATAATTTTATTGTGATATTGTTTGAGATATAAAAGATGGCACCTACTAGAAAATATCCATCTGGCTACTTGAAGCGTCAAAGAAAAAGAAAAATTGAACAATTGACTCAGTCTCAAAAAGGAGCTATTGATAGGTTCTTTCTGAAAGAAAAAGAACCACAAAGTTCAGTGGATGGTTTAATTACGGAACAACAGGATGACAATGAGCAATTAGCTAATGATTTGGGCAATGATGAAATTGATGATGACCTTGATGAGAAAGATAATCATGAGGATGCTCCTATTGTTAGTGGTCAACCGAGTGAGTTCATTCCCTCAAACATTTATGATCCTCAAATTTGGGATAGTCTTGATCCCAAATGGATTGATTTCTTGGCAAAAAAAGGTCCTGCAAGAGATCTATCAATTGAGAAAGGTCCTAAAGATCAATTTAATAGGCGTTTTAATGCAGCCTTTTATACTCGATACTTATCCAATGGAGAGAAACATGATAGAGATTGGCTAGTCTATTCAAATGATGTTGATAAAGTGTTCTGTTTTTGTTGCAAATTGTTCAAGAAAGGGCCTCTTAAAGGTCAATTAGCAAATGATGGCTACAGAGATTGGACACATCTCAATGTGAGGCTTAAAGAGCATGAAAACAATTTTGATCACATCTCGAACATGACCACTTGGATTGATTTGCGTCTTAGATTGCAGAAAAACGAAACAATTGACAAAGTTGTACAAGATCAGATCAAGAAAGAAAAAGAGCATTGGAGGGAGTTACTACGAAGGTTGATCTCCATTGTGAAATATCTAGCTAAATACACACTAGCTTTTCGTGGAAATAACGATAAGCTTTATCAAGAAAACAACGGAAATTTTATGGGCCTAGTTCAAATGATGGTTGAATCTGATCCATTGATAAAGAATCATCTTCAACGCTTCCAAAATAATGAGATTCGTTATCATTATCTTAGTCATACCATCCAGAATGAGTTGATATTGTTGATATCTTGTGAAACCAAAGCTGCAATCATTCAAAAAGTCAAAGAAGCTAAATATTTTGTTGTGATACTTGATTGTACTCCTGATTTTAGCCACCAAGAACAGATAACCTTGATCATAAGATGTGTGGATATGAACAGTACTCCAGTAAAAGTTGAAGAATACTTTTTGCAATATCTGATTGTGAATAACACATCAGGAGAATGATTGTTTGAATAGTTGCAAAATGTATTAAAAGTTCTTAATCTTGATATTGATGATGTGAGAGGGCAAGGTTATGATAATGGATCAAATATGAAAGGGAGACACCAAGGTGTACAAAAGAGGCTTTTGGATATAAATCCTAGGGCAATGTACACTCCATGTGGTTGCCATAGTCTTAACTTAACACTTTGTGATATGGCAAACTCTTGTGGCAAAGCGAAAGACTTCTTTGGAACAGTACAACGTATTTACAGCTTGTTCGCAAATTCTACAAAACGATGGCTGATTCTAAAAGAAAATATAAAAGGACTGACTCTCAAATCATTGTCGACCACACGATGGGAGAGCCGTGTTGCGAGTGTTAAAGCAATTCAATCTCAACCTCTACAAATAAAAAAAGCTCTACTCCAATTAGCAGAAAGTGACAATGACTTAGTAACAAGAAGTGCAGCTAAATCTTTGGCAGCATATGACATTGGGAATTTTGAGTTTTTATTGGGCATGACTATTTGGTATGATATATTGGCTGCTGTTAATGAGGTTAGCAAAGATTTGCAATCTAAAGACATGCTTATTGATGTTGCTATAGAACAAGTACAAGGGTTGATCGCTTATTTTGAAAAGTACAGAGAAACTGGGTTTACGGAGGCGATGATTAATGCTAAAAAACTTGCTATTGAAATGGAAATTGATCCCGTGTTTCCAGAACAGAAAAGCGTCAAGTTCGTAGAAAAAGACATTTTGATGAGAATGAAGGTGAATCATCCCAACCAACGGAACAATCAGCAGAGGAATCTTTTAGGGTTCATTACTTCTTGTATATAATAGATCAAACTATTGGTTCACTGAAGAGAAGGTTTGAAGAATATCAAGCGTATGATGATATATTTGGGTTTTTGTTCACTTCAGAACGGTTGAATTCGATGGACAACAATAAATTGAAAGATTCTTGTGATCGGCTTCAAAACTTTCTCAAGAAAGATGAGCTCTTTGATGTTGATGGGGATGCATTATTAGTAGAGTTGAAGCTTTTACGAGAGCGTTTGCCAAAAGAAATAAAGACATCCATTGACATATTGAACTACTTGAAGAGGATGCGTTGTTTCGACTGCAAGCGTTGCATACAGAATTTTGTTGACTATACCTATTACTGTTGCATCTGCAGAAAGAAGTTTCTCAAAGTTAAAGTTATTAAAATCATACTTGCGGTCAACTATGTTGCAGGAAAGGTTAAATGGACTTGCTTTGATATCAATTGAAAGTGATTTTTTAGACAAAATTGACTATGAAGTTTTAATTGATGATTTTGCAGCAAAGAATGCACGAAGAGCCATCTTTAAGTGAAACTTCGGTGCTAGACTTTTTTAAGTTTTGTTTATTTGGTTTCCTTAGATTGAACTTATTGTTAGTTATTAGTACTATGGTTACTTTGTAGCTTTTTATACATTTAATAATATTTAGAAATAGATGGTTAGTGAGTTTTAAAGTTTATTTCGATATTGCTTTTTAACATCAATACATTGTTCAATTTTTTTTAAGATGTCTTATAAGAAGGGCCCCTTTTATGAATTTCGCACAGGGCCCCCGAAATCTCAGAGACGGCCCTGGCTTGGTCGAGGAATTTTCATCACTAGAAAGGAATTTAGGTTAAATTGATCAATAGAGAGAGATAATAGATAAAGATACTAAACAAAGGTTTTTTTTTAAAAGAACTTTGACGAAAAACTCTCGGTACTTTCACTTTAACGAAAAATTACATTTTTACACTAAAAAGTCAATCCTGGTACTGTTCACTTTACTCTTTTTTTATCTTTATCATTAAAACTCAAAATTTTCAAGCTTTTTTTCATTAGTTTTCTTTTTTTTTTTCAATGATTCCTTTCACATTTATTATAACAAAAAACACATAAAAATAAGCGACCACCTTACAGTTATACTTCTATATATATATAAGTTATGATCCGGGAACACACATTTTGACACATGTTTTTGTGGTTCCCATTCAATAACTTTTTCAAGGATCTAAACCATTCGATGATCGATGATTCATCATTCATAGATCATCTTTACAAAAAATTAGACAAATCCAAACCATTAAGACATTCATTTGTAGTGAAGAAAATTGATGAATATAGTTTTGCAAAAAAAATTAAATTTAGTCCAATGGTCATCAAAATAAACAAACAAGAGGGAGCCTTCACAAAGGTTGCTTAGGAGAAGTCTCAGCAGTCGGTAGAGCCCCAGAAAGAGAAGGCACCGGAGGGGGATCATTCGGAGCCTCAGTACTGGACAGAACCCTAGAAGGAGGAGGCATCAGAGGTTGATCATTTGGAGCTTCATTACGCGGTACAGCCCCAGAAGACGAAGGCAATAAATGCCTTTGGAATAAACCCACAAATCTCTGATGATCAAGTAAAACCTGACCATCAGATTCCTTCATCTGGTCAAGCTTCCTCTTCATGTTTGTAGCATAGTCATGTGCGAGCCGGTGCAACTGTTTATTCTCATGCTTGAGCCTTCTAATCTCCTGTTTGAGATTCATCACTTCAGCCGCCAATGATTCAACTTGGCGGGTTCGAGCAAATAGGCGTTGGGCCATATTAGACACAGAACCTGCACACTGAACACTGAGAGCCAGAGAATCCTTAACAGCTAACTCATCAGACCGTTTGGAAAGTAGTCTGTTATCTTTGGGAGTGAGAAGGTTCCTGGCCACCACCGCAGCGGTCATATCATTCTTCATCACGGAATCCCCAACGGTAAGAGGACCAGTAGGGGAGACGAAGGATGGGCGCCATATGTTGTCTGGAGAAGGCGGAGCTGCCTCTTCAACAATGTTCAAGTCAAAACGACAGTCGGAGGGGCCAGACATTTTCAAATGTGTTGAAGAGAGAAGAGGTCGGACAAATCAAGATCTTAGAAGTGCAAGAATGGAGCTTCTACTGGTGGAGATTCAAGTGTGCTTTGGAACTTAATGCCAGCCCCTATAAAAATCTGCACTCGACAGAGCTTCAGAAATCGAAGAGGCGCCTACTCAGAAATCGAAGAGGCGTTTGCTTTCTCAAAAGTTGGGCTGCTCAGAGACCACGAGGGTCGATCTCAGAAATCGAAGAGGCGTTTGCTTTCTCAAAAGCTGGGTTGCTCAAAGACCACGAAGGCCGATCTCAGAAATCGAAGAGGCGCTTGCTTTCTCAAAAGCTGGGCTGCTCAGAGACCACGAGGGCCGATCTCAGAAATCGAAGAGGCGCTTGCTTTCTCAAAAGCTGGGCTGCTCAGAGACCACGAGGGCCGATCTCAGAAATCGAAGAGGCACCTACTTTTCCAGCCTTGTCAGTACCTGTCACACGCACACTCAGCTTTGCGAAAATTATGGGCATTCTGTCGAAGACTTCTGGTGAAGTAGAAAGCACATGAGTCTTACTGTTCAATCACCCACTTCCCACACGCAACAGTAGCTCATGGGTACCACAGATAGCTTTGCCAAAGTTCTCTGCCAAAGTTGAGCACGTGAAGCTTGCAGCTCCCACTACATCGCTCTGACCAAGAAGGGTAAAAGAATAGCAAAGAAACAGCACTAACAAAGTTTAGACACATAAATTTTGAAGATCTAGCTACCATATTATTACCCACAAGGGTAAAGGAACAGTACCACTGCTGGATAATTGGAAAGTCCCTGTGTGTCAACCTCTGTGCTTTGTGGCAAGGTAGACTAGCAAACATGCCCAACCTTTACTCACATTCGAGAAAACACTCCCAACAAGATTGCTTGCTCCAAAATCGAAGAGGCATCGTCCTCCGAATCTCGAGAGCCAGACTCCCAACATGACTACTTTCTCAAAAATCGAAGAGAGGGTAAAGGAACAGTACCATTGCTAGATAATTGGAAAGTCCATATGTGTCAACCTCTGTGCTTCGTGGCAAGGTATACTAGCAAACATGCCCAACCTTTACTCACATTCGAGAAAACACTCCCAACAAGTTTGCTTGCTCCAAAATCGAAGAGGCACCGCCCTCTGAATCTCGAGAGCCAGACTCCCAACATGATTACTTTCTCAAAAATCGAAGAGACACCGCTCTCCGAATCTCGAGAGCCAGACCCCCAGCATGATTGCTTTCTCAAAAATCGAAGAGGCATCGTTCTCCGAATCTCGAGAGCCAGATCCCCGATAGGATTGCTTGTTCGAAAACCGAAGAGGCAACACTTTCCCAACTTCAAGAGCCGGATCTCCTTGGATAAAGCTGTCTGTAATCTTCACACGCAACATCACTTTTCCATATACCACAGACCACTTTTTCAAAGTGCTCTGACAGAGTTAAAACATGTGAAGCTGGCAGCTCCCACTACCGTGCTATGACCAAGTAGGGTAAAGGAATAGCATTACTATTTGTTGTTAAGGAGACTCCTATATATGTCGACCTCCATCCCCAACGGACAGGCAGACCTGCAAAAATGCTCAACCCTTCCTCATATCTGAGAGGGCACTCCCAACGAAGCCTTTCGAAATATTCAGCTTTCTTTCCCCCCGATAATATCTCTGCAAACAAGCTATACTAGAGCAAGAATATCTCATATCATCAGGGTTAAAAGCAAGAGTATCCCATATCATGCTTTTTCCCTGTCTTTTCCTTTGGCCTTGTTCTTACCTGCAAGACAAGGAGAAAGAGAGCAATCAGTCAGCACTTGGAATCAAGCTTCCAGCCAGGAACTGACTGCCTGGAACCCCTTACCTGATTACTTACCTGCCATTGCTCTCGAGTACTCATCTTCAACATCTTATGCTTCCAGGGAAGATACCGCATCTGCCTGAGGAACAGATAGGGCAAGGGAGAAGGATACAAGGAAGCATGTGGAGACAAGCGAAACAGCACACGTGCCGATACATCCATTACTCTGTCAAAGCAAAAGTATCCCATATCAGCAGGGTCGAACGTACTCTAGATTTGATGGACTTGTTTTGACCCTCAAATTCTTCAGTCGGCCTTATACTCAGTTCAAGAATAAG